GGGCCTTGTTCTGTCACTCAGGCTGGAGTGCAGAGGCGCAATCACAGCTCATTGCAACCTCAAACTCCTGGGTTTAGCCAGTCCAACCACCTCGGCCTTCCGAGTAGCTAGGACCACAGGCATGTACCATCATGCCCAGCCCATTTCTGCTCTCTTGCTTTTTATTTTCCTCATCAGGTTATAGCTAGCACATAATGATCTTCAGATGTTTTTGTAAGAATGAACAGTTGAATAAGGCTCTTAAATAATACCAAAACATCACTGTTAATGTCTTTTTACGTGATGGTTGCATAGGTTAGCTGCTGCTGAAGGCTTGGAGCCAAAGTATCGGATTCAGGAACAAGAAAGCAGTGGAGAGGAGGATAGTGACCTCTCACCTGAAGAACGAGGTAGTTTATTTCCTTTACTGCTTGCAGCATGATGCTAGTACTTTTTGCTAAGATAAATCCATTATTTGGAAGATGAGCAAATGGTTTTCATTTTGGGGACACAGAGTGGGGGAAAATGAAAGCAACATCTTTAAAATTCAGATACTACTTGTGTGTTTTGTTGTGTAACAGTTTTTTACCCCTGATTTCAAGAATATGGGGAAGTATTACCATCTTTAAAGTAATTATAAGTATTATTTTCTTTGTACTTTTTAGTGCAGAGTAGATACTCAGTGAATACTTTTTAAATTAATGCTTTTCAAGTCATTGAGTGTTTGGATGGTCTTCAAGTGGATAGCTGGAAGAGCTGATTTCCCAATTGCGTATGTTTTTTCTGTCGTTAGACAGTGGTGCAGCTTCACAAATGAACCAACGTGATGCAGAGTGAAGGTCTGTATTAGGTCCCATCAATCAAAAGGAGCAGGAGCGTCACAGGAAAGGAGATGGAGACAGCCCTCCCCTTCAGAGGGATGGCAGAGGGTCTTGTAGGCCATTCAGCACATACACAGTTAAGGCATTGCTGCCTGCTCATGCTTTTCTGTTTCTACAAGTAAAAGTGGTTACCTATGGAGGCTGGGAGAAAAGGAATGTGTCTTATCTTGTTGCATTTTATACTTTTTGATTCATGTGAATGTATAATCTTCTCAAGAATTAAAAAATTGTATATAGTTTATTTGCAACTATTTTTAAAGGAAAATCCAAGCCTTCGGGTAGAGGGGAAAGATACAAGAAAAGCACATACTCACAAAAAAGAGGAAGAAGGAAAATACGGTAGAAACCTACCTCAAGTGTTGCAGCGTAGGGACTACCTATCCTGGGAAGAAACTGAGAAACTTTAGAACGAAGTCTCTGGATCTTTGTCGTATAGCTGCTAAGATATCATTTGCTAGTCTTTCCTGTCATCTTCAGAATATAGCCTGTTCAACAGAGCTATGGTGGTCTGAACCTAATATTTGTACGAGAGAAATTTTACATGTAGCATATTCTCAAGTTGTATTATATCTCTTCAACTTTGAGTGACTTCCAATTTATATTCCCAAAATATACCCCAAAAGATCCTTGAGAAGTATTTCAAATAGAAATAGTTTCTGGAGTTTGTTTCCTCGTTACTCTTTAAAAACATGATCTATTGAGAATAAGGAATTTTTTGTTAATGTATACTGTCAGTTTTAATTGAGGGATCTTTTTCTCAAGTTGTAATTCCACGAGTCAACCAGCAGGGGGAGCCATTTGACTAATTATAATTTCATTAATTCATGTTCCACTGGTGGGGTTGTTATTGAATTATATAGATGTTACATGGCTGAAAAATTTTTGTCTATTGACAGTAGACAGCTTAGGGAGAAAATTGTAACTCACAGCATAGCAATTAAGATTATTGTCTATGGAGACAAACCTAAGTTTGTGCTTCAGGTATGCTACTTGGCTAATTTGCATAATTTCTCTGAGCCTCGGTTTTCTCATTTCTAAATTGGGAGCTGTAAAAATATTTTGGTGACTATTAAATGAGTTAAAACAGTTAAAGCACTTAGCACTGATCTTGGCATATTGTGAGGACTCACTAAATGTTAACTTTTAACAACTTCAGATATTCCCCCATAAAAAGTAAAAGTAGGTATAAAAAGAATAATTCACTTGTTGTGTTCATATAAATCGTCTACCTTAACCTTTTTAAATGCTAGTTATGACTTAATAAAGAATCATGATGGCCGGGCGCGGTGGCTCACGCCTGTAATCCCAGCACTTTGGGAGTCTGAGGCAGGAGGATCTCTTGAGGCCAGGAGTTTGAGACCAGCCTGGTCAACATGGCGAAACCTCACCTCTATTAAAACTACAAAAATTAGCCGGGCGTGGTGTTGTGCGCCTCTAATCCCAGCTACTCGGTAGGCTGGGGCACAAGAATCGCTTGAACCTGGGAGGTGGAGGTTGTAGTGAACTGGTATCATGCCACTGCACTCCAGCCTGGGTGACAGAGTGAGCCTTTATCTTAAATAAACAAATAATCATGATGCACAGTTTGAAAAACACTGGCTCATACTGAGAAAATAATAGAACAAATGCACAATATATTATATATATATGTCTTACAAACATTGAAGATTGCTGATGTACCTTCACAAAATAAAAACAAACCAAAAGAAACATTGAAAACTTAAAGGGGGGAAATCAGAAATCTTTAACCAAGAATAGGGAATTAAATTATAACTCAACTTGTAATGATTTAAAAACTATGTAAATCATTATGTCCATGGCAGAATGTTTACTGTATGTTCATATACTTTATTGTCTAAACTGGGTAATTATTACAGTTTTTTTTTTTTTTTTTTTGAGACAGAGTCCTGCTCTGTTGCCCAGGCTGGAGAGCAGTGGTGTGATCTCTGCTCATTGCAACCTCTGTCTCCCGGGT